AATGAACACAGACAGACGCATCTACAATAACCGCACTCGCAAATCTGTTTTAGGTCCGGTTTGAGCAGCTGTACCTGGTTCAGGTAATGATACTCCTCTGGTTTGAGGAGATGAAACGCTTTTCTTTCTTCTTCACTCGCTCCGGCCAGCAAGTAGTAAAACACATGATAGTTCCTGTGAGAGAGAGAATATTATACAGTATAAATGATATGAACACTGACCAGTGGTCTAAATAATAACAACAAACACATAATTTTAGGTAGAAATACATAATATCATGTGACGTACCTCTCATTGTGCTCCTGATAAACTAGTCGGGATTTTTCCAGAAGATACTTCTCCACATAAGCTCTGAAATCAATAATCAAAGGGGAAAAAAAAGTATATATATATATATATCATTCTGGCGTAATAATCAAGGAACTTTGCTGCCGTACCTGAAAATAGTCCCCAGCTGTGCAAGCAGGTGGTCACGTTGGTTATGTTGACGGAAGTTAGCTTATTTTCAGGCGCTGCGTAATATCATTGCGCCTGCTGCACCCATGGTACGGCAGCAAAGCTCCTTGATTATTACGCCGGAATGAGAGTATAGTTCCTAGCCATATCGGCCGAGAAAATCACAACTTTTCATTTTCCGTCGGTCTTAGTACACGATGTAACTACAGAAGAGTCAAGTTTTAAATAGGAAAAATATAGAAACTCTTTGGTCATTTTTGAGCGAGATGCTAACGGTCTAATCAGATTCAATGATCTATGCTAAGCTACAGCTAAAAGTGCTACCGCCAGACCCGGAGATCGGCTGAATGGATTCGAAACGGTAAAACTCAACTGTTTAACTCTAGGGGAGTTGGAAAATGAGCCTATTTTCAAAAATAGTGGTGTGTTCCTTTAATTAAATCAGATTTTGCGATTTCACAATAGCACTAAGCCACATTGCTATTCGGATCTTATTTTAATTAATTTTTCAGCCCTTTTATTAAGGTATCATGGGATACGTCCAAGGCTGTTCCAAAAGGTTTGTATCGTCTTATAAGATGATAATATTCTGAATTAAATTCATTCACTACTAAAAAGTATCAATAAAAGTAAGTTTACCCTCACCCTCTCACAGTCCCGCTCTCCTGATAGTTGACTTGAATAAACTTGCCAAAGCGGCTGGAATTATTGTTATGGGCCGTTTTGGCATTTCCAAAAGCCTAAAAAAGGAAAAACAAAGAAACACAAACACATTAAGGGACAAAAACTTAACTATTGTGGAGAAAAACAACACGTACATATTTTTCAGATCAGCATCTGGAAGCATATAGATCATATGTACAGATGGTTTATGCCTCATAAATTCAGACCAGAACGTGACGACAGACTAGCAGACACATTTAGTCACACATCTCTCCGAGTCTAATGGCCGATTCTTTTCAGAAAGACAGCCCAGGTGAATAGGGTTAAAAAAAAATTTTTTTTTAAACATTAAGAAATGCAAACATTTTTTTTCTGAAATGTTATTTAAATACGTAAATGAGGCATTATCTAATTAAATATGCAGTAATTCGCAAATATTTCCAAAACAGAAATCTGAACATTGGATGAATCCAGGTTCTAAATATTTGTTTGATTTTGTTGACATGTCAGAATTAAAGGTTTTTACAGTTTTTATCACTCCATTAATCAGAAAAAACTGTCAACTGACAGAAAAAAACAAATTTTCACCATTTCTTTAGGAATAAAATGTTGTATAGGTGAATGATATATGAACAAACCCCTCAGTAAAAACGTTCAGAATATAGAGAGGAATAAAACTCTAAGTTTTGGTGTGTGTAAGTGCTGCTGAAGTAGAGAAACAAACTCATTTTGAGAAAAAGGCCTTTGAAAATATGTATTTTAACTGAAATCTACAGACGCAAATAAATAAGGCGAAAAAAAAAAAGCAAATGATATATGAACAAACCCTTCAGTAAAAACGTTCAGAATATAGATAGGAAGAAAACTCTAAGTTTTGGTGTGTGTAAGTGCTGCTGAAGTGAATAAACAAACTAATTTGTAAGAAAATGGCCTTTAAAGATATGCACTGGAATTGAAATCTACAGACGCAAATATGCAATAAAAGTGCAATAAAAGAAACGCTTAAAAGTGTATTTTGGATGTTTTCACTACACTAGTCTGAAAAAACACTTTATGAAAAGCCAAAAAGCTTGAAATCTCAAAAGTGCCCAGTGCATGAAAAAACAATGTTTTTGTCTGTAGTGTCTCGCATTAAAGCCGCAAATGCCTGAAACTCTCAGATACGTTCAGAAGAGTAAATCCTTCTTCAGACTCCTCGAGTCTCCCCTTTCAGACTGACCCAGCGAGACCCATTTCAATTAAAACTTTATGATGTGGAACCACGAGTCCCTGCCGCTGCTTTCACAGCAGCTCATGCAGAAACACATCACGCTCACGGGCCTTTGCTTCATTTTCTCCACATGTGCTCAGTCTGTAGAGTTTATACATGGAACCAAGTGGAGAGTTTATCATGACTTTTAGATCAAAGTAAAGAATATTAACTTCAATATGACTTGGTTTTAAAAAATATTATGTTAATATAAACATGCATATTACTTTAAACATTTACTAGATCAATGTAAATGTAACATGACTTTACACAGGTCTAAATAAAAGTCTCACTGGACGAAACGTCTCATTTGAAAGCTATAAGTCTAAAGCTGGCTCGGGACGGGCCACACGCAGGGCTGCTGACGGCCGAGGAGGTGAAGTTTAAAATAAACAGCCTGCACCACATGAAGTCGAGGGCTGAATATGTGAGACAGGAGGCTTGAGGTTTGATTAATGACAAGAAACGTGTGAACATGATGCAGTGAACATAAACAGGGCTGGACTCTCCGCTGAGAGGCGTCAGGAGATCTGGATGTGCGTTCAGACCACCCCGATAACACAGCACTAAACCCGACTCAAACCGGCCTGCAGCCCAAGGAAAAACACACTTTACCGTGTCATTTTTGGACAATGGTACAGCATGGTTTACTTTGAGGTACCATAGCATACCATTTAGATAGCATGGTGCATGAAAACAGCTATGCGTGCTATTTTTTTAATTATAAACTAAAATTATATTTAAAATATAAATAAATATTTCAATATACAATATACAATCCAAGTAATATTTAAAATACAGTTAAAAAGTTACATTATATATATATATACACATATATATACTTTTTAAAAAACAGACCGTGAGCGTATAATGCAGGGCTCTACGCTTACTTGTGCTCCCGGTTTAAAAAATGTAGGAGCACAGCCAAAAAATTCAGGAGCACCTTTTGATCAATAACAAAAAATTTGCCTTCCCATTACGAGGTGATATTTGACTTCTTAAAGTGATTTACGAGAGCTTTTTTTTTCTTTCTTTGTAGTGGCATTTTTCAAACTTTATTAAAAGTATGACAGCTTTTATGTCAAATTCAAAAATGCATGTTTATAAGCTTTTTCAAAATGTCTAATTAAAACAATAGAATAAGAAGAATAAGTTACCGATCAAATGAAATCAGTATTAACACATTTTATTTGCACTACAGAGGTGCACAGACGAACACAAAAGTGGCATGTAGGCATATTTACAGATGCTTAATGAGGTTCAGATGTGGCATGAGTGCAATTAAATTAATAAATTATTAGATTCAATTGTTGAGATTAAAGTTTTAAACATGTTAAATATAGAAATATTAAATGATTTAAATGAATGAAACTAAAAATGAAACTAAAACTGCCAGTAGGTGGCGGTAAGTAACTGATTTTATCACTGAATCATTCATTCGATCGATTCGAATTATGAATGGGTGACTGAATCTTTGACTCACTAGATTCGTTTAAAAACGCACGTTCATTCATAAACGAAACAGCGCTGTGTTTGCTTGGACTTTGTTTGAAACTATTTTCATTGACAAAATAGAGCAAAATCAGGCAATAGCGTCGTAATCAGTCAATGTAAGTCACTTAATATTAACTTCTTGTTTATTGAACTGTTAAATCAATATCACATGTGCAATCTCCCTTCATAATCGTTAAATCTGTCACTCATCACGATCTCACAGAGTTCCATTATAATCAACGCAGCTGCGCAATGCATCTCGTATTTACATCGTGTCTACACTTCGTTTGTTATAATGACTGGATTCGGCAGAACTCAGCACTGAACAAAACTCCGGTGTTTGAGCGGTGAGTGGATTCTGATTCACATTGTGTTCAAGCAATCAACAGATATGTCTGTGATGCATCACTCAACGCTGCAAAAACACGTTGTAAAGAGAAACCTTTGATGCAATATGTGCAGATCGGGTCAGTCGCACTGCTGCTCCTAAATATTTTTTCATAGTCGCACGCAGTTGTTTTCGGTCGCACTGTAGAGCCCTGAATATGAAGAAGCAAAAGATTCAATAATCTGCAGTCATCTGACTCAAAATAGCAGTCTTTAGGCCTATTTAGGCAGATGGTTGTGAGAAAGAAGGCCATTATTTGAAAAAGGACAAATGCTTTCACCCTGTAACCTCTTTCAGACAGATGAGTAACTTATTATATAACTGGTCAGTTCGACTGTGAAGTGGACAGGCTAACTATAGCCTGATGGGAAATCTTGGCACTGAATGTCTCATTACTGTTGGAGAAATGAACAAAGCTGCTACCTTTCACTATCAAATATGCAGATCGGGTCAGTCGCACTGCTGCTCCTAAATATTTTTTCATAGTCGCAGGCAGTAGTTTTCAGTCGCAGAGCCTTGTAATGTGCTTGAATGATTCTCCGTCTCGTCTCCCGTGTGGTCTGACAGTTTATTCCCTCTGCATTTGCTCCATAATGGAGGTTCTCTGTGGTTTCTGTCAAGCCGTTTCCACACTGTCACTTTCTGTTAACCAACAAGAAAAGCACAACTTCACACCCCCGCTGCTAGACAGGAGGATCTGCTCCCACTGGTTTAGAGAGGACGGACGCTGAAGGGTTAATTACACTCTCACCACTTCAGACTAAAGGGTCACGACATTTGTCCACATCTCTCGTCTCTCGAGGCACTTTATTAGACACACACTTTCCATCTTTCCCTTTGTAATCTCATCACACCAACACAAACTTTCACTTAACACAACTACATATATATTTAATATATATATTTAAAAAATCAAACTAAAATAAATTTAAATAATATTTATAAATACATATTTAAAAATATATTTAAAGATAACTTAAAAAACATTTAAATAATAATATTAAAATGATTATAAATATCCTATCATAAATATATTAAAAAATCTAAATAAAATAAAAAACATTAAAATTATATTTACAATTATTCAAAATATCCAATAAAATACAAACCACTTACCATATTTTACAAATATTAAATATATTTAAAAATAACTTTAAAACATGTATTTAAAATTATTCAAAATATCAATTAAAATAAATATCACGTCTTATATTTTAAAAACATAAAATATATTTAAAAACAACTTTAAAACATGTATTTAAAATTATTCAAAATATCCCGTTTCATTTTTCCCTCTGTAATCCCATTAAATTATGTCGTTTAAAAATATTTAAATAATATTTTAAATATAACTATTTTATGAACTAAAAATAAAATAGTAAAATAAAAAAACTATATATATTTTTATATTTTTAAATAATTTTAAAACACTTTAATAATATTTAAAATTATTCAAAATATACATATACAGTGGGGAAAAAAAGTATTTAGTCAGCCACCAATTGTGCAAGTTCTCCCACTTAAAAATAATTTTTTAGCAATGCTATAGAGATGATTATTCTGTTATTTGTAATACTCAAACAGTTTGCATCCCGAGGCAGTGCAACTAAAGCTTCTCACGACAGCTGCCTAATTAACAATAATAGTGCAGTACTGTAAATAAAGAAGATACTGTACATAAGTTCCCAGCCCACGCCTGCGAACACAAACACAGAGGATCAGTGCCGCTTTAAAATCCCTCACAGTTCAATCAGCTGCAGGCAAGAGTCGACCTTTATAAAGATCCGGGATCAGTCGACCATCACAAAACACGTGTAAAAACCATAATGCAGCGCTAAACGCTAAAAATAGATAAACACGAGAGTCAGTCAAATAAATTGGCAATTAAATGAAATGTCAACTAACTAACAATAATAAATATCAAACATCATATCATATATATATGA